GTTTGTACAAATGACTTGGCACCCTGAATATGCTCTAACTAGCTAATATAAAGGTTAAAGGGTTATTTTAAAAATGAAAAATCTGTTAATTTCTCACCCTCATGTTGTTCCAAATCTACTTTTGTTTATCTTCGCATCTATTTATTTATTTATTTATTTACTGTTTATTTGAATAGGGACAGATACAAAAAAACATAGATTATTACATAAAGAACAATCCGTTGCCTGTATCATAGTGTTTATAGCCAAGGCTAATTCGCAACACCTGTCCCTAGAAGGGCTTTTAACAATCAAGAGAAACACAGGAAAGAAAAAAAAAAGACAGTAAATACAGTAAAATGTCAAGAAACCAGTTAGCACCAATAAAAATGAGTAAATAAACACATTCACTCAAACTCACACAGATACACACCTCACATACACAACAATATACAATTTCATATGGCATGATCACACTGCTGCTGCTGTATGAACCAGGCTTTTGTTAGTTTTTTGATGGTGGACAGTTTAGTTAAGGTCTTTATATTTGTTGGAAGACAGTTCCACAGATTGGCTTCTTTCACAGAAAAAACATTTTGGGCAAAAGAAGTTTTAAAAAATGGAACTTTACAGTCTCCATGTCTAGTAGCTCTTGTTGATCTGGAGGGTTCGAGCCTGTTCACAAATTTACAGAGTGGCTCAGGTGCAAGTCCAGTTAAACATTTACTAAACAAATTAATATGTCTGAAATTAATAAAATTGACAAAATTTAAGATTTTATATTTACTTAAAATATAGCAGTGATGGAATCGAATGGGTTTTTCATCTAAAATTTTTAAGGCACGGTTATAAAGCCTCTGTACCAGCTTTAGGGTAGTTTGACTGGTCTGCGACCAAGCGGTGGTGCAGTACGACAGGTGGGACAGAATCATAGTGTTCAGAAATACATGAGCACATTCCAGTGTTAGACAGCTCCTGATCATTCTGAAACAGTTCATACTGGCCTTCATTTTTCTTGAGATGTTTTTGATATGACTCTTAAAATTTAGCTGAGAATCTAAAATCACTCCTAAATATTTTTCTTGTTCCACCTGGTCGATTAGTTCGCCATTCATTTTAATGTTAAGGTCATTTATTGTCCGAGCTCTTATCGAAAAACACATAGACTTAGTTTTCCTCAGGTTGAGTGTTAAACATGATTTGTTTAACCAATTAGACACTTTCTCAAGACTTTTGGTCAGTGTACTGCCGATAACAGTAGGGCTTTTGCCAGAAACATAAACCACAGTGTCATCCGCATACATCTGAAGACCAACTTCAGGACACACTTCAGGCAGCTCATTCACATACAGGCTGAAGAGAATAGGCCCCAGTATGGTTCCCTGAGGGATTCCGGTCTTAATTTTACATGGGGCAGATTTTACATGATCGATAACTACACATTGTTCTCATCCCTGCAAGTATGACTCGAACCATGATAATGCCTGGTGTGACATGTTATAAGATGACAGTTTTGAGATAAGATTTATGAGCTATGATTTACTGTATCGAATGCCCTCTTTAAGTCCAGGAATACTGCACCCACGATGTTTCCTTTATCAAGCGGCTGCACTACATTTTCCAATAATGCGCAGATAGCTGATTCAGTGGAATGGTTCTGTCTGAAACCATACTGTTGGGGGTGCATATACTGATGTATTTCTAAATAGTTAGTTAGCTGTTCTGAAACTGAGGGATCTAAAATCTAATCTAAAGACCCAGAAAGGTAAAAGACATCATTAACCTAATTTTTCAGAAGTAACGAGATTGCTTTGTTTTCCATATTTACAAAAAAAAGAAAGTATTAAGATAAATAATTAATGACGCATGCGTGTTGTGTTGACGTTGGAGCAAATGTTATTGGATGAACACGCATTGAACTTTAATATTTAAGTGTTAAATTATGTTGGTGGTTTTATGTGCACACAAAGCACTTACATTGCTTCATAAAATTGAAAAGTTCAAAGCCTGGCTCCGACCTCCTACATACTTCTGCCTTATTTTCATTTCCTTCAGAACTACTCTGGGTCTGTGCAGCGCTGGTTCAAGTCGGACAAGCCTGTACTTTAGTTTTCTCTGATAATTTTTTTTACCAGGCCAATCAGCGAACAGAGGGAGTGGCTGAGAAAGATGACGTTGATGTTGACTCATGCGTTAATAGAGTGCCGAAGTGATGACGTCACTTTGTAGGACAACTCAGATGTTAGCGGCGCATGGGTTCCCTCGGTCGAGAAGCAATGCCTTTTCCCCATAGACTTTTGGAAAATAAGATCTGTGTTTAAGAAAGAGTTGTGACCCTTACACGTTTTGTCTATCAAGATAATCTTTACAAGTTCATCCAAAATTTATACATTTTGAAGCCTATATCCACAAGTTTCCTACGCCCCATGAGGCCTTGCGTCAAAAGTGGGCGCGACTTCCGGTTCTATGTAAACAAAGCGGCAAGCGCAACTTGACACTCATTCATTCATTCAACAGTTGACAGTTATTCAGCGAACGATGTGGGAACACAACCTAAACGAAATAAAAAAGGGTGAAATAACATTACCTTTACCCTCCGCAGTAGATGGTTGGGAGGATGACATGAAGAAGTGGCCTCGTATCACGTACAGTAGCATTTTTAGCTATTTTGTAGATTCAGTAGCCTGTGACAGCAAAGCGATGAGCAATTTGAAAAGCTCGGAGGCATATCAGTATCTACACAGTAATAAAGTCGGCCGGGTATTATTTAAGGACGTCGGAAACGAACTTGTGTATCTTAAAGCTGACATTGAGCCGAGCCAGAGCCTACATGTATCACACCACAAGGCTTGGGTTCTAGCATCAGTGACAGGTGAAGTACAGACAGCGGGCTGTTCATGTATTGCAGGGCCAGGACGCTCGTGTAGTCATGCAGCAGCACTTTTGTGGAAGGTCAGTAAAATAAGGATAATTAAGGGCACGAAAATGTATCACTGTATTGTGATATTGTTAATTAATTAATAAATGTACTAAACTGAAATTTTTACTGTGTGTCATTTGTGTTCTGCATATGTTGCTGCACAGCAGCCTTCACTTGAAATTTTTAGTCCAAGATTGTTGGATTATAAAATGTAATTCAATTTAGGTTGAGAATGCAGTCAGGCAGGGCAAGACAGGGATGGCATGCACTGATGTGCAAAGGAAGTGGAAGGTGAAGGATATTAATTTTAACCATCACAGACCATACCACGTATATCCAGGCCCATCAGAAAGTTCAGCGCAAGAATCAACAATCTCCCCCAAACTTTTTAAGAACCACAGAGAGTTCATAACCCACTGCAATTCATCAGTGATGGCCCCACTGTTTCAGCTCCAGACAAATGGGCTGCTTCAGTTAAGTTACAGAGCAGATGTAGACAGCAGCAAGGCAGGCCACAGCAAACATGATCCAGCCAACAGTAATCCACTCTGTCATACTGAACACAGCACAAAACTAACCTGTCCAAAGTGCACAGAGTTTTATGAGGCCTACATTAAAGTGTCCCCTGCACAAGCGGCTGTACTGATGGAAGAAACCAGGATGCAAAGTGCTTCACAGTTATGGCATGATGCTAGAAAGCTGCGTCTAACAGCCAGCACAGCAAAACGAGTCCCAAAACGCAGTACCACAGATCCTCAAAAATTTCTAAATGAGCATCTGTACCCAACCTTCACTGGCAATTCAGCAACACAGCATGGCAAAGAAAATGAGATCAACGTCACCACACTCATGGAGAGCAGAGGGCATACCGTGGAGAAGAGAGGCCTGGTCGTGCACCCTGACCATCCTTGGTTGGGAGCCAGCCCAGATGGGATCCTTGATTCAATGCAACTACTTGAGATCAAGTGCCCCTTCAAGAGCTCCACGTCACTGGCAGAATTTCTGGGACGGCCAAATGGTGACATCAAAATAGTAGGCGATGGACAGTACCTGATTTTTCCTAAAGGAAAGGATGGATACTACCTTCAGGTGATTTTTTTTTTAAATAGCTTTATTATCAGACTAATATTGTATTTTAAACTTATGAATTAATTATTCAGATTCTTTTTACAAACATGTACTCTTAATCCTCCTTTCAGGTACAACTGACCATGATGTGTCTGGGCCTTCAGAGCTGCAAGCTGGTCATCTGGACACCAAGTGAGGACATCGAATTGGACATTCCATATGACAAAAACTACACAGACGCACAAGTGCAACAGCTGCAGAATTTTTACTTTTTACACATGCTACCTAGGTTGGCTGATGATTTTACTGACAAGAAGATTAATCTCTGTCCGACATACCTGCGGATCTTTAATGGGTAGTTGTGGGAGGGTTTACACTGTTTTCATATATTATTATAATAATATTATTAATTATCAATATTCATTAAGGCATGGTGACAGACAGTTTTGTGAGCTGACAAACAATTAAAATAAGAAGTACAAACTTAATGAAAAAATACACTTAGTCATTGTTCTTTGGAGTTTATTCAAAATTATAAATGAATGTGTCATTTGAATACATTAACTGGTACATGTGGTAACAGTGTATTCTGTCATCTCAGATTTTGATCCTGAGTTTGGTTGTAACATAGGTACCGAACATCCAATCACATGCTGAGAGAATTTATAGAATATTACGAATTTAAACAAATGTACAAAGTAAGAAGAAAATAGCAGTCTATGAAACAACAACTAAAAGAAAAAGTCCATCGAGCTTTAAGGGATAGTTTACCCCTAAATGAATATTCTGTCAGTTACTCACCCTCATGTTGTTCCAACCCCGGAAGACTTTTGTTCATTGGAGGAGCTCTCGGAGGATCCAGCTCTCAGATTTAATCAAAAATATCTTCATTTGTGTTTCGAAGATGAACGAAAGACTTACAGGGTTGGAACTACATGAGGGTGAGTAATTACTGACAGAATTTACATTTTGGGGTGAACTAACCTTTTAAACTGAACATTTGAGCTCACACTGAGTATGTAAGATATAGTTTCTATGTTCTAGAAATAAGCTCCCCTCGCAGATTTACAAGTGCTGCACAGATTCTTAGTATTTTGTCGATTTTAGGGACAAAATGAATAGGCACAGTTTGAGAGAGGATTCTGTACACCTTGAGACGCCTGATTGCGCGCTCAATGTGTATGCGGACATTAGCAATGCGTCTTGTGCGAGTGACCTGCTCATTTGTCAGCTGGCATTTCTTGCGCGTAAAAGCTGGGGTGATCAAACGAACTTTCCGTTCCTCTAGCAAATCTCTGATCGTGAAGCCACGGTCCCCTATCACCTCATCTCCAGGACGCAAATGGTCGAGAAACCCAGAGTTCTGTGTGATGAATCTATCGCTACATTTGCCACCATAAGCCTCTGAAATATACATAATTATCCCAGATGGAGCAGTTGCTACTAGATACTTGACAGTATTGTTTGCATTGTAGTGACTATAAGATTCAGTTCTTGAGTCCAGATTTTTAGCCTTCTGCAAGACACTTTCTGTGCAGTCAATTACACAAGTTGTGTTTGGAAAATTGTCCATAAAAACCTGTGGCAAGGTGGACTTTATTGTTTCACGAGGCAGCCATGGAATGAGATCCTGGGTGTGCTCAGCAATCGCGTCTATCCAGAATTTCAGTGTTTTACTGACCTGACCAGGTGACATTTTGAAGCGTCTTGCTAAATCAGCAATAACAAAGTTCTGTCTAAGCTTCATCAATGTCAGCAGGATTTGGTCCTCTGCTGACAATGATGATGATGTGGGAGCAAAATGTTGCAAGCACGACACAAGAGTTCTGAATTCAAGCAGTGGAATCCCAGTGTACAGCAGACAGTCAGCATCATCCTTTAAAACAACATCTGCAACAGACAGCGAACTCTTAGAGGATGGGGCAGTTGTCATAACACATGTGATGGTAGGTCCTTTGGAGTAGGTGTGGTCCTCCATTGCTGGGTCTGACCACTGTGTCTGGGCATCATGGAAGGTCTGTGAGGAAGGATCTGGCTCCCCAGAAACATCCATCAAATCAGGCTCATCTGCAGGGAATACAATCAAGTACATATTTAGCAGTGGTGGTCCGTGGTTTGTGTGGTTAGTACTTCAATAACGATTTGTTTAGTGGCAGAAAAAACAATTAGGGGGGCATTTGCGTCTTTACAAACACCTAGACACAGACTGCATTTAATCTTCTCAGTACAGATATTCTGTAACGTTAAATGTTAGCTAAAAGAGGAAATTAAATTAGCATCTTTCACTGTGCACCTGTTATGAACTGCTCTGAGGCTTTTAGATGAAGATCCAAATGCAGCTATATTTAAGATTAGTCGTACAGGCAGGGTCGAGAATTAGCAGACAGGACAATGGAGAATACACAGTGGGAATCCGGGAAACAGGCAGAGGTCAGGGCAGGCAGCAGTAATCAAAATCCAAGAACAATCCAACGTCAAAAACCAGAAAACAAACACGGAAAACGCTCAGAAATGCAGTGTAACACTTAAACAAGACTTCGCGGTGAGTGACTGAATGAACATGGTATATATAGCCAGACTAACAAGATGAGACAGGTGAATGCAATAGTGAATGAGGTACAGGTGAATGTGATCAGTGATGATGAGTCCGGGCAGTGAGTTCTGGGAACTGTAGTTTGTGTGAAACATAGTCTTATCTGGAGTGCCCTCTGGTGGCTAAAGAGGGCACTCCAGCTGGTAACCGTTACATAGCCCCCCCTTTAAGGAGCGGATTCCAGACGCTCCTCAAAATGTCCAGGAGGGAGGTGGAGCGGAGGCGGACCTGGGGGCGGGATGGAGGGCCAGGCCCGTGGAGCGGAAGAGGACCTGGAGACTGCGGCGGAACTGGCTGTGGAGGCGACCAGGTCGGAGCAGGCTGTGCAGACGAAGGCCAGGGCGGAGCTGGACGAGGCGAAGGCCAGGGCGGAGCTGTTGGACCCTCGGGCGTCCAAGGCGAAGCAAACTGTGGGCATGGCCAGGGCAGAGCAGGCTGTGGACGTGGCCAGGGCGGAACTGTGGGACCCTCAGGCGGCCACGGCGGTGAAGACCCCTCGGGCGGCCACGGCGGTGAAGACCCCTCGGGCGGCCACGGCGGTGAAGACCCCTCGGGCGGCCACGGCGGTGAAGACCCCTCGGGCGGCCACGGCGGTGAAGACCCCTCGGGAGGCCACGGCAGTGAAGACCCCTCGTGCGGCCACGGCGGTGAAGACCCCTCGGGCGGCCACGGCGGTGAAGACCCCTCGGGCGGCCACGGCGGTGAAGACCCCTCGGGCGGCCACGGCGGTGAAGACCCCTCGGGCGGCCACGGCGGTGAAGACCCCTCGGGCGGCCACGGCGGTGAAGACCCCTCGGGCGGCCACGGCGGTGAAGACCTCTCAGGACCAGGCATCGGCTCAGGAACAGACACTACAACAGAAATGGTCACAAGGACAGACACAGACACAGAAACAAACACTGGATCGGGAGCAGACACTGGATCGGCCATCTTGTCCGGAGACACTGGATCGGCCATCTTGTCCGGAGACACTGGATCGGCCATCTTGTCCGGAGACACTGGATCGGCCATCTTGTCCGGAGACACTGGATCGGCCATCTTGTCCGGAGACACTGGATCGGCCATCTTGTCCGGAGACACTGGATCGGCCATCTTGTCCGGAGACACTGGATCGGCCATCTTGTCCGGAGACACTGGATCGGCCATCTTGTCCGGAGACACTGGCTCGGAGGCGGCCATCTTGTCCGGAGACACTGGCTCGGAGGCGGCCATCTTGTCCGGAGACACTGGCTCGGAGGCGGCCATCTTGTCCGGAGACACTGGCTCGAAGGCGGTGACGTGAACAGAATCTGGATCAGCAGAAGTGATTTGAACAGTCTCTGAATCAGCCATCTTGTCTTTAGACACTGGCTTGGAAGAAATGACGTGAAGCATCTCTGGCTCGGCAGAAGTGACGTGGAGCGTCTCTGGCTCGGCAGAAGTGACGTGGAGCGTCCCTGGCTCGGCAGAAGTGGCGTGGAGCGTCTCTGGCTCGGCAGAAGTGACGTGGAGCGTCTCTGGCTCGGCAGGGCTGACATGGAACTCTGGCTGGGCTGTCTCGGCGGGACGAGACTCTGGCTGGGCTGTCTCGGCGGGACGAGACTCTGGCTGGGCTGTCTCGGCGGGACGAGACTCTGGCTGGGCTGTCTCGGCGGGACGAGACTCTGGCTGGGCTGTCTCGGCGGGACGAGACTCTGGCTGGGCTGTCTCGGCGGGACGAGACTCTGGCTGGGCTGTCTCGGCGGGACGAGACTCTGGCTGGGCTGTCTCGGCGGGACGAGACTCTGGCTGGGCTGTCTCGGCGGGACGAGACTCTGGCTGGGCTGTCTCGGCGGGACGAGACTCTGGCTGGGCTGTCTCGGCGGGACGAGACTCTGGCTGGAAGGTGAGCGCAGGCTCGGCAGGGCTGACGGTAAGCGCGGGCTCGGCAGGGCTGACGGTGAGCGCGGGCTCGGCATGAAGCTCTGGCATAACGTGAAGCTCTGGTTGAGTAGATACCACGGGTTCATGGAGCTCCTTCTCTACAACGCCCACAGTAAACAAGGAACCGCTTAGCAAAAGGGCCTGGTTAATATAGTCCTCTAATGTCCCGTGACGATTGTGTAAGGGCATGAGTGAACTGAGTGGTTCAGAGAGTCCTCCTCGGAAAAAGATCATTAAACACTCTGTGCTCATTGAGGCGAAATGGGCCAGTTCAATGAACTCAGAAACATAGTCCTCGACGGACCGATTCTCCTGACGGAGACGCAAGATCTGGACGTCTGGGCTTCTTGTTGGCATGGCTGCTGGATCTCGGTGTGGCGAAGTCTTCTGTTATGAACTGCTCTGAGGCTTTTAGATGAAGATCCAAATGCAGCTATATTTAAGATTAGTCGTACAGGCAGGGTCGAGAATTAGCAGACAGGACAATGGAGAATACACAGTGGGAATCCGGGAAACAGGCAGAGGTCAGGGCAGGCAGCAGTAATCAAAATCCAAGAACAATCCAACGTCAAAAACCAGAAAACAAACACGGAAAACGCTCAGAAATGCAGTGTAACACTTAAACAAGACTTCGCGGTGAGTGACTGAATGAACATGGTATATATAGCCAGACTAACAAGATGAGACAGGTGAATGCAATAGTGAATGAGGTACAGGTGAATGTGATCAGTGATGATGAGTCCGGGCAGTGAGTTCTGGGAACTGTAGTTTGTGTGAAACATAGTCTTATCTGGAGTGCCCTCTGGTGGCTAAAGAGGGCACTCCAGCTGGTAACCGTTACAGCACCATTGTGCCCTGATATTTACAATAACATTAATAATAATCAAAACATAGAGAAAACTAGCACACCAGCTGACATTACATTAATGTTACCTATTGTTGTTGTGCCATGTCGAATCCTGGGTCGGCGTCTCTTCTTCTCCGGTGGCTTCTCATAACCCAGAAAGAGCGTTGGGTACGGGTTATCATGTGTTGGCTTCTTATCCACGAAGTGAAATGAGCACACAAACAGCTGTTTTGGTGGTGTTTTTAAGTTTAAATTCTTCAGCCACATTCTTCTTGATTCGTCGTCTTTTGGGAGGTGATGGAAACTGTACGGTCGTTGGCAAGAACACTCTGATTTTGTTTTAGGTTTATGCTCAAAACACTCACGTTTAAGCCACTGGATAAGTTTAGTCCGGTTATACGTACAACCGCGAACAGCACATGTTGTCCCTGAACTCCGTGATGACATCTCTCATAAAAGTTTGCAACTTTAAATTGTAAAATAATTAACTCAAAAACAGCTAGCCTCTTCGCTAACTACCACACAAAATACCATTGGAATGCTACTTCCGCCGCGTCACCGGAAGTTGCGCCCACTTTATTTTTTACATGAGCGCCCCTCGGAAACTTGTGGATAACTGTTTTACATCAAGAGGGGATGTGGTTCTGGAACGATTCCCTATCTGCTACATTATCTTACAGAATAGGATGAAAGAAGCATTAAAATACTGTTACTAACCTTTATGAAAATTGATGAATCTCTCCTCAAAGCATGGTTTGTCTTTGCCAGACAGAATGTGTTTAATGGCATCCTCCACAGGACTAATTCGCTTCCGTTTTGACATGACATCCAGTTAGCATTTAAATTCTGTAAAGAAAAGTTAGAATGCAAACAATCATAAGCTAAATGACTAATATTGATTGTATGACAGTGACATAGCATATTGGTGACATAGCATATTGTTTGTGTCCAATCAATGTCCACCTGCTGCTGCCATAGATAACGCTTACTAGTAACACATACAACATCAATTTCTCTAAAAAAAAAAAAAAAAAAAAAAAAAAAATATGGACGAATAAATACGTATTAATAACAATTTAGTAGAGTTAGCCATTTTTAAATAGGCATGCGGTTGTTCTGTCGCCATTTTTGAAAATAGTCTTAAGAAATTAACTGCTAACTTAACTAGCGAGCATTAGGCCTGTCGCAATAATCAATTTTGACTTAATAATGTTTGGTAACAAAATATATCGCCAATTATGTTTACATGATTATGAATGTCAAAAACATTTTGCAGAGCATGCTGTCGTGTCGTGTGTTCTCTGTGTCGGAGGCGAAAGCCTCGGGAAAAATTAACTTGCCTCACACAGAGCGGTCATCAGCAGACTGTGCAAATTAAGTGCGTCATTTGAGACGTTTGGAAGAATAAAAATCCAAATGTACTCGATTTCAAAGCAGAGCGCAAAATGGTGCACAGAAAAAGCACGAAGACGACGAGTAGCAGCTAAGTTAGGCCTAAATACTTCGGTTAGCTAAACAGTAACGCTAACTTTAAGCCAATGCTCACTACCTGTCACGATAACTGCTTTTTGTTGTGAGATATTGTCTCAGAAATGGGCTAATGCGCGATACACAATATTATTGTCATTTGAATAAAATGTTATGCCACATATATATGTAATATAGACCATATATTAAAGTATAATAATAAAAGTAGGCCTACACACTATTAAAAGACAACAGCAATTTGACGTTAATTCTTTAGATTAAGTAAAATGTAAAAAAAATAAAAAAAAAGAAATATCCTACAAGCAAGCAACAGATGAAAGTTAGTAATTTGCTGGTCTGTACATAGCTATCAGTATTTTGTTTAATTGGTCAACATTTTACAAATTGAAAAGATAACAGTTTATAAAGCAAGCTTGTTGACTTCTGACTCTGACGATCTGCTCGTGCGAATGACGAACGCATCTCCTCATCGCGGATGGCGCCTAAATGTTTTCCCGGGTAAACTAACTTACGTCACTAAACCATTTCACAAGTAAAATTACTTTCCCTTAAAGAAAATGTTAAAACTTTCCATCTTCCAATTTGTATTATTATTATTATTTACCAGTAGCATTACAAAATAAAAACAAACTCTAAAACTGTAATTTTTAGAACTGTAATATATCTATCTAAAAAATCATAACATGATTCGGAAATACCTTATAATAATATTAATCCATAAAATAAATGGATGACTGTTGATAAAAAATTATAATAATTCTAGGCTACAAGAGGTTATTGAGAGGGATTGGCATGTTAATGGGCTTTGTGTGGTTTAATCTGCAAGTGCCTGAAAGGTCTATTAAAGAAGTTTATTTCAAAATTAAAATTAGCCCATGATTTACTCACCCTCAAGCCATCCTAGATGAATGTGACTTTCTTCTTTCAAACGAATACGATCAGAGTTATATTAATAAACACCCTGGCCCTTCGAGCAGTGAATGGCAGTGAATTGCAGCCAACAGATTGAAGCTCAAAAAAATCTATCCATCATAAAAGTGCATCTGTCTATCATAAAAGTGCATCTATCTATCATAAAAGTGCATCTATCTATCATAAAACTGCATCTGTCCATCATAAAAGTGCATCTGTCCATTATAAAAGTGCATCTTTCCATCATAAAAGGGCATTAATCCATCATAAAAGTGCATCTATCCATCATAAAAGTGCATCTATCCATCATAAAAGTGCATCTTTCCATCATAAAAGTGCATCTATCCATCATAAAAGTGCATCTTTGATCTGCATCTAAAATGTGAAGTGGTGCTTGCAATGGCAAAACTCCCCACTCGGTTGCTAGACTGTGGTACATGATTGCATACGAGCCAACAAACATGTCTGTACAATGTTCTGGTGCTGAGATATGGCTTATTCATGTCGTCCAGGTGGAGGTGTTACTTTTAGCTTGTGATACTGTAAAGAACTGGTTGTGCTGGCAAAATTCTAGGTGTGTATCGGCTGTGAAGATAAGACTGGGGTAGGATAAAGTTATCTGCTTTTGCAGATCTTTTGCAGTTTTTGGGTGGATCCCAAAAACAAGCATCTGCTATCAATATCAAGATGATAGCATTTTCAATTTATGCATTTAATTATTATTAGTATTATTGAATTGTCATTATTAGGGGAGGCCTATAGGCTAATTTTATAATTAAATTGATCCGCTATTATAATTAATTTGCCACGCAATATTTTCACAGCACATAACCAACATGCTGTGAGGATAATAAAATATTACATAATCTTACTCCTCATTAAAAATTGTCTGAAACATTTATGTCGATTACAATGAGTTATAGGCATATAAAATAACTATTAACAGTCAATAATATGCCGAACATTGCCATAATTAATCATCAATGAAAACAGGCGTTATCGCAGGTGGCTTGGAAGACGTGGGTAATATTATCCATATTGCAACACGAACTGGAGGTAAGCAACAGTAATTTGTAGCTAGTTGGAACTACAGAACTTTAAGATCTCCCTCTTTTCATTTTAATTTTAATTTTATATTTGCTGCAGATGAAATGGTTAAACTTCTGTTTTCGTGTAGGCGCAGTGAGGGAAAAAACACTGAGTTTAGGGCAATCGGTTCGTAGCTTTGCTTCAACTGTGCGATATAGTCACGAGGAGCGACCAAAATTTCTGACATGCCAGAAATTCATCCGACCATCCGATTGTCGATCGTGAGAGGTTAATCGCCTCTCGTTTCTCCCTGTACACTGCACGAACACTGCACGACAAATGACGCACAACAAAGCTGAAAATCGGTCCGACACGAAAAAGAGTTGCACGAGTCAGAATTCGGCTCAAAATCGGATGAAAATCGCACAGTGTATGCCCGCCTTTAGGGCGAGGGAATACCGTCGTTTTTTGTCAAAGAAACGAATAATAATCAGGAAGGCTTTTGAACGGTGGAGAGAACTCAATGAATTGAACATTTTTCAATCAGACGCCGAGGTTGCACTATTTCTTCTGGACAGGTGAGTCGCTTCTACTTCTTCTTTTATATGAGCTGCGTGGGAAAATATAATTCTTTAAAAAACACGTGAGCGAAGCTCGACTAAACTTAGCTCCAGCGAATATCAGATTGTCAGGATTTAGTGATATAAAAATAACAATAAGTAATAATAATAATAAGCAGTTATAATATTATTCCAGATAGCTGTTGTGTTTTCCCCATTACGTTAGATCTGTAGCTATATGACTGATTCTGGTACGTTTTATCATACAGCTGCTTCCAGTGAAGCACCAGCAAAACTAGTCGTATGATACAACATGGCTCGACTGCAGATTTTATATTATTATACTTTGTTATCCAAAGCAGCCAAGTTCACATTTTACAGTTCACAGAATGAGACATCATTGAGGCAGACCGTCAATCTGAAAATAGTGTTTTTGGCGCTTTAAGAAATACGCGTGCATGAACGGTTTTTTCATGATGCATGAAACGGGAGGGAGGGGCGAGCTAACTTGTTACGTTTGG